GCCATCAGGAAGCATGGGATCAGGCCAGCCCAGAGGTCAAGGAGATCTATGGGGGAGGGAGGGGGGAGGGAGGCCCTGGCATCTGGTGAGTGAAGGAGGCCACTGTGGACTGGAAGGCAAACCCTTGTGGGGCAGCCTGAGCCCATCCCAGCTCCTCCTACAGACTGGGTCAGGCCTCCAGGCTCTGACTCAGCCCACACAGTGGGGACATTTAACTCCATCCCCATGGTCCCGTGTGGCCACCTGCTGACCTCAGGAAGAGCCAGGCTTGTTAGACCTAGGGGCCACGCTTTCCTCTAATGCCCTCATTATTTGGGGAGGAAACTGAAGCCAGAGAGGGAAGACATGCATGGATTCCGGACAAGCTAGCATTAGCCAGCTGGTTTTCAGGTGCTTACATTTCTAGTGTTTGTAGAGACCTCAGTTTCTGCGGAGCACATATTCCCAGGAATAGAGCCAGAGGGGGCGTAGTGTGGAGTGTTCCTGTGGGGAAGGAGTGGGGACACCTCGATGAAATCCATGGATTCTGGAGATGAGGTGGGGAGAGGTGGGGGGTGCTTTTGAAACTTCTCTCAAATTGTTAAAGCAAGATTAAAGGTGACGATATGTTGTTCCTTTGGACAGTCAAGAAATCAGCGAAAAGTTGAAGTCAACATGTTGCAACAATCTGTACTTGGTGACAAACCAAGTGGAACTTGCCCTAACAGCCTGCCACCCCGCTTTCGATACTCATCTGGCTGGGATGCCAGCTCCTCTACCTCCCATGAGTTACACTTCTACCTTACTGGTGGATGCCGCCTTGATCTACTGGATGTATATAAAGATTGCATCAGGCTCTGGCTTGGACGTTGCATGGTGAGGAGGAGGAGCTGGGTACTGTGTGAGGTGGGGAATCCCTCAGGGGAGGAAATACAGTGGAGGGGGGGGGTTCTTGTGTCACCAGGGGCACCCTTCTCAACTTCCTCCTCCCTCTCCCCAGACTTCCTGGGCATTGGCACTCTAGGAATATTGGGAGGGAAAGTAGGTTTGTGATTGAGGAACAGGGACCCAATAGCACATACCTGTTCATGAATGACCCTCTCAAGGCTTGGAGTCTTTGGCCTCCTGCCACTTGGGAATCCATTCTTGGCGATGTTGGCAGCAGGGGAGGGGGCTCAGCCCCCACCTGCTCTGCTGTCCCCCGTACTCAGGTGTGCCTTATGCATCCAGTGTCCCCTCCTGCACAGGATGGACTTGGCCTGGGAGTGTGCCCCTTTCCCACTGAGGCTACTCTGACAGGGATGGGATGGCAGAAGCCACCAGCTGACCCCATCAGCCTGGTGCCAATTCACAGACCCTGGCTGAAAGGACATGTCTGTAATTGGAATCATGACAGAGAGATACGAAACAAACCAGTTGTTGAGTTGTCCTTGAAACCTTGATGAAGTGATTATTTTTGCCTTAAAATAAAAAATTGATAAGTTTACCTGAATCCAGTGATTGGAACTGTGGCCTTGAGGGAGTGGTGGGATATGAATCCACTTGAGGAGTCCAGGTGCCTTCATGGAGATCATGGGGGAACGGATTTTAAGAGGGGGGTTGGATCACTCTTCTTTTCCGAAAGAAGTGGGGTGGGAGAATGTGTTTCTTTTCAGGATTTTTCAAGTAACATGGTGTCTGGGAAGACCCAAGGATGGATAGACAAGAGAAGTTGCTGAGGCACTGGCAGACTCCAGTCCCTTTCCTGGGACATCAGCCTCTCCCCTCAGCAGTAACCTAAGCCTCTTTGTCCCTTTAGAGTTATGCCCCATCTGCAGCCATCCCAGGTTCCCCAGCCCAGATCACTACCACACCCTATGGTGGAGGACAGTAAGTCACTTCTGGACCCCAGTGTTGTTTCTGCTAACCTTTGTTGACACTACTATAAACTAGGCAGGAGGTTCCCTTAATTACCCAGCATTTCAGACCACAACTCTCTACATCTCCACTGTTCTGATGATGTTCAGTATGAACAGAAGAGCGCCCATTGTATCCTGGCGATGTGTAGATTCTGGGCTGAGGACAAATTGGTGCTGGGAAGGCTGCCTCATCAATTTTCTTCCCACTCCAGTTTCAAACTACAGGCTATGGAACCTTAGGGGGACCTGATGCTGTAGAATATCAGTGTTTTTTGGTGAAAACAGAAAGCGAGGTCGAATGTGTGGCAGTGTCATTCATTCTCACCTGGTAGGGGCTGGGGATGGCCTGGAGGAGCTGAAGGAAGGCCCTCTCTGCTGAGGATACTAGTGAACAGACATGGGTGGAGTTCCAGCCACCAGCCTGACCTGTCGGCCTCAGGTGCCCACACAGCAGGGAGACCTGTCCTGAGAGTGGGGCATTTCACAGCCCTAGGGAAAGAACCCTTCTGTATTGTCCTGCAGCCCTCCACTGTGTGACCTGCTTTTTGGGTGTTGGGAGTTTGGGGCAGAGAGCATTTCCTTGACCATCAGTCAGCAGAGGCCCATGTAGATCATCAGGCCTGGTCTGTGTTGGAGGCAGTTCCAAGTCATCCCTTTCCATCCATAGACAATCCCTGGATGTCACCCTCTGTCTTCTCAAGTTAGGATACCCCTGGGGCTCTTCAGCCCTTGATGACCTTGTCTGGCTTCCTAGCCAAAAATTTCCTAATCACTTACCCAGAGAGGGCAGAGTTAGGAGGTCCTCCCAGACTGAGTGTCACGTTGTGCCTTGGGCTTGGAGTGAATGCCATAGTTGCGGGTTTGCTTCACCTTCCACCTCTTCCCACACGGGGGACTGGATCCAGCACCTCAGGGTGTGTCCTTGATCTTACACCTCTCCTCCCTTGTTATAGAATGACCAACCTCTCTGTGGTCTTTCTTGAGGTGAGCTTACCTAACTGTTGATTCTGGAGCTTACCAACCATGGTAGATTAGCACACAACATAGAGATGCATCCCTTGTCTCTTCACCCTAGGAAATTTGTGGCCCCATTTCTTTTCAGACTCTTTGAACCCAGGAAGGTGTGGTGGCTGGCCGCCAGTCCCTTGGGATAGGTTGGTGACTAGGCTCATCTTGAGATAGTGACTCCCAGAGGTTTTATTCAAGAGCCACCAGTTACAGCATCCTCTGTCCCTGAATCTTGGCTCCTCTGTCTCATCTCCTTATTTTCTTCTTCACCAGCTTCCCTCCTAACTTTTGTGAGTTCTTTGCCCCATTTCCTGGAATTTCTCCCTCCCTCCAAGTCCTGACCTTGAGACTTTTCCAGCTCTTATTCCAGTCTTCTTCTTGGAGCCAAGGAGGTGGCCCCGTCCTGCAGCTGCCCAGGGAACTCTTGACCTGCCCTTATCATCTGTACTCATCTCAATGATGTTCATAATGTAGAACTCTCATCTCCTGCCTCTGAATTCTCTTGCCACTTGTGGTTTCACCGTTATCCCAGCCCCAGTATATTAAATCCCCTGACTCCTGGTCTCCCCCTACCTCCTGTGCCACATCCAATTGCTTCCACTGTGTCAGTTGACTTCCATAATCCTTCCTTCCACTATCCTCTGGCTTCTCAGATTATGGAGCTAGTGTGTGCTTAGCCCTCGAGGGGTAGAAAAGAAATACCCAAGGGGGCCCAGCCCTGGGGAGGCAGAGTATGTCTTCACCATTAACTTTGTCCATTTGTCCGGTCACCAGTGAGGGTGAGAGCTGGGTCTGCCTGGAATGCAGTGGGGCTCACCATTGGTGACTTGGTATCACCTCCCAAAGACCCAGGCCCAGGCCCCTCCATCTTTTTCTGCTTTCAGGAACAAGCCTCCCTGGCCATCCATAAAGGAAGCTCTTAAATACAGAGAGAACAAGTTATTGCTGGAGGGCTGGGGAAGGGGGGGGGGGGGGGGGTGAGGGCAGGATAGGCTAGATGGGTGATGGGCATTAAGGAGGGCATTTGTTGAGATGAGCACTGGTGTTATGTAAATGATGAATCATTGGGTTCTACTCTGGAAACCAATACTACACTGTCTGTTAACTAACTTGAATTAAAAAAAAAAAAAAATTAAAAAGAAAAAGCAGCCTTCCTGCAGAAGGGTTCTGCTGCCCTCTGGCCTCAGTGAATACCCTGGGAAAACCTTTTGTTTTCTTAATCTCTCATAATGGAGATTCACTAAGACAGAAGAATTGCAAAGAGCCAGTAACTTGAAACTCATTTCTTTTGGGACTTGGGGAACTTCTTAATTCTGTTTGTTTACATTAATGAATTTGTCTTAATTTTTTTGCCTGAAAATAAAGAAATTATTTACATGTCTGAACTCATGACAAATGATTTTGATCCCTGGGCCAAGGAGGTGGAGATTCCCAGGGATGCTCTCTGGGCTGAGTCTCCTTTCTCACCTGGCCTGCTCAGACCACCCAGGTGAGAGCCACCTCTCAGCATCAGCACTGCCTGCTTGGTCTTTCCTCCTTGGCCTTCACCCTATCGGGGCTGGGGAGGCGAGGCAGCCACCAGTACTGTCTGAGGTCTAAGGCTTCAGGTTGGACTTGAATTTCTTGCATCTAGGCTGAGTGGTATGGTGCATCCACCTATAGAAATTATAAAAGTGGCTCATCCAGGAGCCCTGTCTGTTCCAGTGGAGAAAGCTCTTCTCCAGTGGCTTTCATGAACTGCCAGCTGGGGCTCAGAAGACCAGCTGTCTCCAGCTGTCTCCACAGGCCCAGCTATGACCACCAGCATCCTCTTGCCCTATGGCAGCTATCACGGATCTCTCCTTTTTTTATGTGTCGATGGTTCAAGAACTGCCAATCCTGGTCATAACCTCTCAGACAAGTATCCATGCTAAGCCAGGCTGTGACTGG